TCTTTTGCCCCAATTTTCTTGTAATTAATTTTTATTATTCAGGGACTGCAAAGTGTTGCCTGGGCTGGTAGGAAATGCACTTGGCTGACGCCAGCCCTGGCAGCCAGAGCCTTGCCATGGGGGGGTTCAATGCTTGCATATGCACTCCCTGACTGCCCCTGGGGTGGAAAGCCATGCTGGCAGGGCTGCTTTCCCCAGCTGCTGGGTGCCTGGAAAGCCAGGAGATGCTGAACATCCCTCTGCTTCCTCTACCCATACCCCATGCTGGAAAGGAGTCTCTTCCCAGAGAGCAGGGCAGAGGGTGGCAACCACCAGCCCAGCTGAGCAGGGAGAAGCTTTCCTCTGATAGAATTTCAGCCAAGTACTTTTCTGCAAGTGAAAGTTAAATGAGAGGAGGCAAGGGAGCTGAGCAGCCCTTCCTGGAGGGAGAACACCACCTCTAATTTCTGCTCTATTCTTCCAAGTGCTGCAAACCAAGCCTGACTTCTCCTTTCCATCTACCTGCCTCTAATAACCGCAGTATTGTTTAGATACAGATATGCATATATGCACATGCACACATCTCTGCTGCGAGCACCCCCCCATGCACACAATGTCAGACTCACAGGAAAGCGTTTCAGGCAGATGCTTGCTGGTCCCCGCAGCTCATCCTACAGCTGTGCAACGCGGAGCAGATATTACCCCCACTGCGCACAGCCAGGATTTTGCTAGAGACCAAAGCCCAAACTCACCGTGAGCGCTGCCTCTGCTCCCCGGCGCAGCCTGTCCAGCAGCAGCATCGAAACTTTGCCCAAGATGCTGGTGTTTATATTTCCCCCTCCCCGTGCTGGCAGGAAGCAGACAGGAGCCAGGATGGGGTGCAGCTCCGCTCCCCGGCGTGCTGGGATTTGTAGGCGGCTGCGTGGGTTGGCGACGTGCCCGAGCCAGACTGCATTTCCCAGCCAGCACCGCACAGGCGGCTCACGGTCACCCAGGCCTGGCCACGGCCACGGCCACGCTCTGGGGAAGGGGCTCAACCCTGGTCCTGCTTTTTGGGCTCCCTCGGAGCTTGTGCTCAGTCGCTGCTCACTGCCCACAAGTGCTGCAGCGATGTCTATTTTTGTAGCCAGGGTATTTATAGCGTGCCTCCAGACCTCTCATTTCCCAGCCCTTGAATGCATAATGATTGTGGTTTTGACTGAAAATATAGGGGTACCTGTTCAAGAGCGGCTTGCAGCATGTCCAGGCGGATGCAGGGAGCTGGGCCAGGGAGAAAGGCTGGTGCAGAGCGTGGCAGGGTGCAGCAGGGGCTCACCACATTTGCAATTTTACTGTCGTGTTTTTGGGTCCCTTTTCCCTTCTTTTCTGAAAGCTGCCTCTTACACACCACCCTGAGCAGGGGTAATTTTGGGGCTGGGATCTTGCTTTTCCAGGTGGGCTGTGCAGCACCCAGCCCTGCAAGGCTCCTGCTGCTGGGGTATTTCAACATCCTCTTTCTGCCCAAGAGTGAGATTGGGGGTGGGGGGCTGGCACAGAGGAGCGGCTGCCATCCTGCAGCTTTTCCCTTGCCCAGCCAGGGCATGTCCCTGCCCTGCTGCTGGAAGACGGCCCAGAGCAGCAGCCTCCCCCAGCCTGGCTCCTGCTGCAGGAGACCAAACTCACTTGCGTTAAGGCCAAGCAGCTGTCCCCCTGACTGGCACCAGATTATTACCAGCATCACCAAATCTCCTTCCAAAGTGTGGGCTGCAGCTGGGGTCCTGTGCAGCTTGGCTTCACTAAGATGCTTGTCTCTAGCAAACAGCCTGTCAAAAAGGCTACTGATATGCTCAGCTTTCAGCATGCATATGCAACCCCCCTTTTCCTGACTGATTTTATTGGGCATGTTCCCTTTCCCCTGTCCCCCTTATGCATTTCTCCTGTGCATCTTCCAGGACTGCCAGCTTAGAGCAAAAAGTGTTTTGGCATCTATGATGTTTCCCCCCCCCGAGGTTTCCTGCAGCATCATTCCCACACCATCTCCTGCTCCTGGAGACAATGCTTCTCTGAGCAGCAGGAGTTCAGGGTGCTTGTGAGTGGGGCCATGTTTCGGGTGGGCGAGGGGCAGGCCCAGTACCTCTCCTGTGGCCAGATGCTCGGTGTAGCAACGCCTCAGTGGCCATGTGAAAATCTGGCCGGACCGGTGAGCCAGGGTGGCCAGGCAGAGCTGGGACGGGTCTGGTTTCCGGGGCCTCTCCCCCCATGTCTGTGTCAGCCATCGGGCACCGGCGGTACCGCTCCCTGCTTCCGGCAACGCCCCAAATTTCCACAGTAACCGGGCACGTTTTGGGCCGACTTTGCTGAATTGGCAGCAAGAGAAGAAGTGTGCAAGCATAAATTTAATGCGACAGGGATGCCGGTGAAATTGGTCCTGGCTGGGTGCCTGGTGCTTCTCCCGTTGGCACTGAGGGATGGAACCACCCAAGCAATATCCCCTCGCCCTGTCTGTCCTCCCTGCTGCTTCGGAGCGGAGCATCCCCACTCATCCCCATTGCCGCACGCGCTTCCCGGGCCCTCGCATGGTGCAATAAAGCACCGTACGCCCCTCTGGGCCAACAGGATGGGCTCCCCAGTGCAGGGCTTACCAGGGATGGATGCAGCCATGCACCCGTCCCCTTGCACTAAGTGCCTGCAGCCACGCTGTCCGGCCCAGCATCGCTGCAGGGATAACTTGGAGAAGTGAATTTGCAGGGGCACAGAGCTAGGCAGTGATGCCTGCCGGCTTCTCGCAGGCAGGAGGGCAGGTTTTGCTTCCTGGTCTGGCAGGGAGTTCCCCGCTGGCTTTTCACTTGCATGAGCACCGAGCACCGCTTGGGTCAGTGGCGAGGTGGGGCCGACGGAGCTGCTGGGGCCGCCTGGTTCCTGGGCTGGCAAAGCAGACTTTCCTGTTTTGCCGTGCCGTGTAGCCACCATCCCAGCTCCGTGTCCAGCAGGGTCCTGTCTCACCCCGCAGCATGCCCCTGCCACATGCCGCAGCTGGGCCCGCAGCCCGCGCAGCAGGGAAGAGAGACTGAGGCTGGGAAGGAGGCGCGTCGGTAAGTCTGGTTTCGGGATCCCGGTCAGCACAGGGTGGAAGCGAGAAGCAGGGCTCCCCCAGCCCCTTCTCCAGGAGCAGGGATGCTCGATGCTCCCTGCAAAGCCCACCAAGGCTGTGCTGCCTCTCCCAGACTGCAGCAGGGCTGTCCCCCTCATCCCCAAAACAGCGACTCAGGTCACCCCATGGGGCTGGGGTGAGCTTTTATTTTAAACCAGGGCCAATGGCAGACCAACGTGACACAGCCTGTGGGGGTCTGGCAGGGAAAAAGCGCTGACGCACCTAATTTTGTGCTGGGTGGGTGCCTGCTTGCCTGCGCCGTCGTGTCCACCCACCGCCACAGCCCGAAGCTGCAGTCTGGCGCCTCCTAAATATCACAGGCACGTCACCAGACACTGATTTCTGTGTGTGGGGACAGGAGGAACCGATAGGATAGGACAAAGGATAATGGCTTTAAATTGAAAGAGAGTAGATTTAGATTAGATGTAAGGAAGGGGTACTTTTCTGTGAGGGTGGTGAGGCACTGGAACAGGTTGCTCAGAGAGGCTGTGGCTGCCCCATCCCTGGCAGTGTTCAAGGCCAGGCTGGATGGGGCTTTGAGCAACCTGGTCTAGTGGAAGGTGTCCCTGCCCATGGCAGGGGGGTTGGAACTAGGTGATCTTTAGGGACCCTTCCAACCCAAACCATTTTATGATTCTATGATCATTAAAGCTGCTGCTGGTGAGCTGCCAGCAGAGATCGTGTGTTCAATGGTACAGACATCCCAGGTGGCCCCGGTCACCTGGCAAGTCACTTAACCTGCACATCATTGCGCCAGCAATGATGCTGCAGGGATGACAACAATTCCCACGTCCCTCCAGCCCTATGCCCGCGTGCGGCAAAGCCCACTGTTGGAAAAATTAAAGGCTTTTGCTGGCTTTGCAGGTGCAGTGGAGGGAAGCGCAGAGGTGATTTCTCCCCAGGAGGATCCCCGAGCAAGGAACCATGGCCCTGCGGGGTGGGCAGAGTGCAGGCAGAGCAAGGCGGTGTTGGCTGCTTGAGCAGGGACCTGCTTGGACAAGGGGCAGGCGGCTGGGGCAGCCAAGGCAAACAGGCACATACCTGCCAGCCTCGGTCACGGCACTGGGACCCGGTGCTGCCAGTGCCGTGATGGCTGCAGACCCACTCGCTGCACAGCTCCCAGCTCCTGCTGCCGCTCTTCACCTGAAAGGAGGCAAGAAGGAAGTTTTGGCTACAAGGAAGCAGTCATGCTAGAATAAGAGCCTTGCTATGGGGAGGGCAGTAGTGAAAAACCATTCTGCTTCAAATTTGAAGCCTTCCCTTAAGCTGCGTCAGCATTGCCATGTGCACCGGTTGGGCTTACGCAAATTTTCCGAGCCTGTGTGACCCCAGCCTGGTGGCACCACTGCCACCTGCAACACAGGCACCAGCCCCACTGCAAGCCCAGGAGCAAACCCTCCTGCTCTTCAGCCCTGTGAGAAGGGGGAAAATAGCCAAAAAAGGGTGTTAGCTAATGGTGGGGCTTGCCTGGGGCTGAGCAAACCCTTCAGCTCATGCTGCCTGGCCAGGCAGGAGCCAGCATAAAACAGCTCTTGGGTTTTTTTTCCCCTACAGCTAGGTGATTCCTCTTCTCACAAACAAAGGAAAACTCCCTAATCCACACCCCACTCCCTCCCCATTCTGAAGGCAGGCTTGCAAGGATATAAATGAGAAGGCTGTAGGCTACTCCCTGAGTAGGCTGCCCACAGCTCCTCCCGCTCCATTTCACACGTCCTTGCCAAAGTGGCCAAGCCCCAAACGCCTGGTTCTATGTTTTAATTGTTTGCTCTCATTAGAGCCCTGGGCCACAGGCAGCACACGGGCTACTGGAGAGGAAATCCCCACCCTGTTAATTTTGCTTGTATTGCCAGGTCAGCCCAGCTTAGCTGTGGCAGTGGCAGCCAGGAAAGGCATGGTGATGGCCTCCCCGTTCACCAGTAGCCCCGTGACCATCCCCACCACAGCTCCGCCAGGCTTCCTGGGTGGCTGGCTGAACCGGATCCCATGTGAGTACAGCGGTGCTTGCCCTGCTCTCTCAGGCAGCGTTATCCGGCGGGGTTCCTGGAATCTGAGGCTGTGTAACCACTTCTCCCTCCCTCTAAAATCCCTTTTTCCAGTGGGGTCCATCAGGGTGGGGATGCTGCAGAGTGTACCGCGCTGCTTGAGGAGCGCAGGGCATCCTTGCTGCCCATAAGGGCAATTTGAAAGTACAACTCCTTAATGCTGAAGCACCAGGAAGGGGTTTAAATGCACTCTATATGTTTTTGCTTGGTTTTAACTCTTCTGTTCATCTCTGCTCCCCGAACATCACACCAGTACCCAAATGGGCACTCATCGCTGTGGTTGTGGCAGTCGGAGTTCTTCTCCTCCTCTTCCTCATCTGCATTGTCAGGTGCTGCTGTCACAAGAAGAAGCCCAAGAAGAAGGAGAGAGTCAGCATGCCTGCTGTCAGCAGCTCCACCACAACCAGCCTCGTGCGTCTTGCTTTCCCCTCTCCCCCACCTCCCTCCTCTCTGAGAAGTTTGCTGCCGTGCTGCCTGGTCCTGGGGGTGGTGGGAGCATGGCATGGCTGGGGATGTGGTGGAGCATGTCCTGAGGGTAGTGCTACTCTCTGCCACAGGTCCAGCCCGAGATGGAGGACGTGGAGCAGGGCACAGAGCAGACGGGGCGAGGAAAGCTGCAGTACTCCCTAGAGTACAACTTCCGTGCGCAGGAGGTGGGGATGCTTGCGACCGCGTCCCAGCAGGGAAAAGGCTTTGCTCTTGCATGGTCCCTCTTTGCTACCCACTGAGGTGGACCACACCCTCTTGGACCTCTCCACCTGCCTGCAGCCTGCCGGCTCTCATGCCCGCATGGCGTGGAGGCATCCTCCCTGCTGCACTCACTTCTCACTGACCCCATCCTCCTCCACCTGGTGACCTTGTGCATCACTCCTTTTAAGCTGAAAGTTGGAGTGAAGCAGGCAGCCGAGCTGAAGGCCATGGACAGCGGAGGCACATCTGATCCATATGTGATCGTCTACCTAACGTCTGATACAAAGAAGAGGTACGAGACCAAGGTTTACCGCAAGACCCTGAACCCGGTCTTCAATGAGAGCTTCACTTTCCAGGTAGGAACTATATCTGATGATGGTTTTTTGGTCCCATCAGGAGCATTGCATGGGCCCTGTTCCCTGGGAAAATGCATCTCCAGGCAGGGAGATGCTTTTGCAACCAGGATGGGGCAGCGTCAGAGAGAAACACTTGTCGCATCCGCCGCCCCATCCCATGGGGCAGGACTGCCACCGAGGAGTGAGCCCAGGCTTTCGGGTCCTCCCCTGCAGGTACCCCAGGCGGAGGTGCCTGAGTCCACGCTGGTGATGCAGATCTACGACTTCAACCGCTTTTCCAAGCATGACATCATCGGTGAGGTCCAGCTGCCCCTGGCCAGTGTCAGCCTGCAGCATGTCATCGAGCAGTGGAGCGACCTGGCAGCGGCCGGTAAAGTGGAGGTTGGTCTTGGAGAGTGGGAAACTCTGCCAGGAGGGATGTGCCATTGCTTCACTTGCCACCACCCTAAGAAGCAGGCCCTTAGGGCCAAGCATGAGGGTGGGGGAGACCCAGGAAACCTGGGGCCAGCCTGGTGCTCCAGCCCCAGGTGAGCCGGCTCCTCTGCCCAGTGCTTATCGCTGGCATCTCTCCATCAGGAAGAGCAGCTGGGCGAGATCTGCTTCTCGCTGCGCTACGTCCCCAGCACCGGCAAGCTGACTGTGCTCATCCTGGAAGCCAAGAAACTGAAGCGGATGAACTCCCATGGGCTCTCAGGTCAGCAGGGGCTGCCTGTGCTCAGATCCCCCTACTCCTGCCCAGGCCTTAATGATGCCACCAAGAGCTGCAAAGCGTTGAAAGCTCTTGGTGTTGAGACCTGCTTCCTGCTGCCACCACCATACCCATCCCTCGGCCGGCTCCCAGCCTTCCCCAGCACAGATACTTCAGCTTTGGGCAGAGCTGGAGGTATCTACCAGGAGATGTCATGGCTGGATGGTTCGGGGAGCTTGTGGCAGGAGGCAGGAGGTGGTGAGCTCTGAGGTGGCTGGCAAAAGGAAGAGGGGTGGATGCTCCCACGAGGAGTAACGAGTGGGATGCTGTGCTCTGCTTGGGAATGGCTCAGGGAAGCTGTTTTGTGGTTGAGCTCCTCAGCCAAAAATTGTCACTTGTGCCAGCTGTGTTCTCTGTCTCCTCAGATCCTTTTGTCAAGGTGCATCTCATCCTGAACAGGAAGAAATGGAAGAAGAAAATGACAAGTGTGAAGAAAAACACCTTAAGACCTTACTTCAATGAGGTGTTTGTTTTTGAGGTGCCTTTCAATCAGATCAAGGTGGGTTCCCCTGCAGCACCTAGGGTTGAGCAGGTCCCTGCTGCGGTGAGTCCCTCCCACTGACCCTCTTTCTTTTGTTCCCCCTTCCAGAACGTGGACGTGGTCATCTCCGTCTGGGATCACGACAAAGTGACCAAGAATGAGCCCATCGGCAAACTCCTCCTGGGCTGCCGAGCCACGGGCAACCAGCTGCGGCACTGGTCCGACATGCTGTCCAACCCACGCCGGCCCCTCACCCAGTGGCACAGCCTGCAGCCCCCAGATGTGGTCGACAAAGCCCTGGGGCTAAAGTCCCACCTCAAGTTGCCCCTGCCCCCCAGATAGCGGGGAGTCTCCTTCTCCACCCAGGGGGAAGGATGGAGGGCTTGTGGAGGGGTGAGGGGCTTCTGCTCAGCAACATCTAGACATGTTGGTCCCTGCTCAGTGTCAGCAGAGGGGAACGGGAGCGCTTTTTGGCTAAGAGATGATCTGGCTGCTGGTGCAGCTCATGCCCTGTGTAATGCCCAGAGCGGGGCAGCTCGGCAACCCAGGGCAAGGCTGGATGTGGAGAATACTAGAGGGGGTGGCATGGGCACAGGAGCCGGCTCATCCCAGCTGCTTGCAGGCTGGGTGGGACAAATACACAGAGCTTCAAGCTCATGCAAAAACACCGAGTCCATTGATATTTTTAAAGCAGAGGATTAATGTGCCAGGAGCCTGGGGTGGGCAGTTTCTTTAGTTGTGAATAACTCCACAAGAGGCAAGTTCTTGGGAAGGCTTTATGTGTCCTGTGAAGGCTTTTAAACAAGACCAAGATCTTGAAGCACACTAAGAGGCTTGAGAAGGGAGAAGGAGGACAGGCTGACAAGGAAGGTGTTGGAGATACAGGACTAGCTCTTTAGCACCTCTGTGATAAGCATGCTCTGTGTCCTGGCTAGAGGCTAAATGAGACAGCAAAATCAGCCACTGGTTGTCCACATGGCTTTACTCTTAGCCTATTTCCAGCTCGTGCTGACTCGTGCACGCCAAGATGTGACTCAGGTTATGGGACTCACCAGTGACCATCCTCGTGGACCATGCAGATGAGGATGCACAGTGTCAGCTCCATCCACCCTGCATGGTCCTAGCACAGCAAGACTTGCACCACCAGCACCTAGAGGTGCTGCCAAGGTGGAGGGGCTGTGGGTCTTGCTTTCATATCATGACCATACTACCCTGTTGAAGGCTGGGTTGCAGCCCTCATGTCACTTCTGGGCAGGTTTCATGTAATCTGGGAGCTTTTGTGGCCAGATGTCCTGCCCTGCCCTGCTTCATGGGGCCTTGGGGTGGGGGCTATGTGAGTAAAGATCACTTCTAGAAGGATGAGGGCATTGGAGAGCTGCCACCATCCCTACCCAACCTTGAGTACTCTGCACTTTGTGGTGGCTTGAGAACAGCTCCTCTGAACCATCTGCAGGAGGAAGCTCACTGCATTGGGCTGGAGGAGGGACTTGCCCTTGCTCCAGAATACTTCTGCTAAAAAGCAGCCATAGCACACAGAAGATCTGGGCGCATATGATGGAATTTCAGCCCAAAAGACAGAAGTAATTTGCACCGTGGGGAGCTGCGGGCACAATGCTAATCGCTATCGCCTGGGCTCCGGCGGAGGAGGGAGCCTGGCGCATTAATGAAGAGCCATTAATATTGAAAAGCAGTTAATCTGCAATTACCCAGAGCTCCGTGGAGCGACCATCTGAGAGTTAAACAAACACAGTGAAGCTGAGGAAGATTGTGAAAACTCTCGATAGAGATTAATGACCTGAGCTTAACCATAAAAAGCTACTGCATCTGCTTCTTGATAAATATTCTCCAGGCTTCACCATGGCCGTGAGAAGGGAAGAAATGACAGGGTGGTTTTGAGATAGCTGTAACAAGTAGAGTGTGGCTTCTGCTGGGGAAACAGCATCTGCTGGCAGCCGCTAATGAGATGGAGGAGGAAATCAGTCACCTGAGAAAGACTTGTAAAGGGATGCTTTAAAGCCTCGACCTTCAGTCTCAGCCTTAAATCAGGCTGGAACGGGCTGTGCAGAAGGGAACATCTCTGAATTGGGTTTGGGGTCCCAAATCCATCACCAGGTTGGTTTTTGGTGATGTTTTGTGGTGATTTAGGGTCATGCAGGACCCAGAAGAGCTTTTGGAGGTGTTGGGAACAGGCATTTCTTATCTGTGCATGTGTGTGTGTGTGCTTTTTCCAGCCCTCCTTTTTGAAGTCATGGCCTTGAGGTTCACCCCATAATTTATGGGGCCGGGCATAAAAGCACATACATATTAGTCCCAAAACGGACACGCTTGGAGAAGGTGCAGGGACATCCCTTCCTTGAGAAACATTACCCCCAATACCAGTGCCTGCCACTCCTCTCTCCAGCTTTGGCCCCACTCAGAGCCTGAATCGCTGGCGCAGTCCTGGGTGAGCAAAGCTGGCGAGGGAAGCCCATGGTGCTTTTAGGGGGGAAGCCAGGGAACCTGGGAGCAAGTGCTCAGCTGGGCTGGCTCTGGGCAGCCTGGGGTGAGCCTTGGTGCAGTAATACTCAGCAAACTGATTTGTTTGCTCAAGAGGGAAAGGTGAGCGGGTGGGGATGATCTCCACCCAGCTCCAGTTTTTAATGTACTGCGAGGCTGCTTTCTTCCTCCACCATTGCTTTTCCTTCTCAGTCTGCTTTTGCTCTTACAACGAGGCTTTGAGCGCTCTCCTCCTCTGGCAGGATCCTCTTAGTATCTGCTGGCAGCTGTTTGAAGCAGGGCTAGTGGAGCTGGGCTTCGTTTTGTGGCTTATTTGACCCAAAGTGAACACGGCCTGCTTGGGAGCCTGTTCACAGGAAGGCGGACAGCCCTGTCTCGCACGCAAGCATCTGCTTTTCACCTCCCTGTAGCCTTGGCAAGGCTAGTTGTCCCTCATCCACCAAGGCCAAATGTCTGAGCATCTTCTGCCTGCCCAGTGCTCCTCGTTTACTTGGGAGGGCCTAGAGCGGGAGGATTCCCCAGTGGAAGATGCAACAAAAGAGAAGTTAAAGGAGGGGGGAAACCAACTCCTCCTCAGCTTGTGTCTGTGCTGGATTCCCACGTCTGCATCTAGAGGGCAGGGCAGGTACGTGCTCTGAGCTGGCTCTCTGTATCTTCTGGTCTGTGGCCCCCGTTAGAGCCTCACCAGCCAAGATTTCTTCTTCTGGAGGTGGAGCATGTATGCGAGAGGGAAAAAAAAGCTGTGATGCTGTGGTGCAAGCCCCTTCCCATTGCTGCAGAGCCGTGCGGCAATGCTGGGGCGTCCAGATGGCTTTTTCTAGGAGGCAGGAGCCAGCCCTTGCCTGATCCTGCACCACAGGGGCAAAGGGGGTTTTGCTGGTGGGTTAAGAGGGGGCAAAAGCAAGTATCCAAAGCCAGTCTGCACTGTGCAAGGTGCCCGGGTGGTGGTGGGTTTGTTTCTCTGCTTCACACAAGGGACAGTCCCCCTGCATTTAATTAGCAGCTTTGCACATTGGTGGCAAGGTGAAAAGCAGGACTTGGGCCAGGCAGAAGTCTGTTAAAGGAGACAGGAAGTACTGAAAATGAGGTGTTTGCTATTAAGATTTATAAGCTCAATTATTTACATCCAGATCCAAGATTTCTGGCCTCCAGAAGTCCCTCCCAAAGCAAATTATTCCCTTGTTTAGTGATTTTTATGATATTTGTCCCTGCACTTCAGGAAATCAAATGGGAGAGCTGCACCAGGAGAAGGCTGAGCCTTATACGTGCTTGTCACCAGTCGTCTGCCATGAGATAAAAATGATTATGGGCTGTCATCGTTCAGCCTGAGTATGGGCTGGCTGTCCTCCAGCCACAGATTTTTTGGCTAGTCTCACAGTTTTTGAGAGCTGGAGAGTATCTAAGCTCTTCTCACCAGGAGCAAGCGTGCCCGTTTTATAAATATTCGTTAGCTAGCATCATTATGTCTTGCAATTTTATGGGCAAAACGTGTACTTTGCCATGCATGGGTCTCTTTTTTAAAAGCTCCAGCTCCTGGATTTGTGGGGTCTTATGCAGGTTTGCAGCTTTTTCTTTTAAAGCACATTTTTATCCTTTGTGTTTGTGGGGAGCGCGGCAGAAATATATGAGGATGCCTCCCGGCTTAAAACCCAGAGGATGGTTGGCTTTTGATTGAGGCTCTGGCAAAGTAGCAGGGGTCCCGGCAGCTGCCCGGACATGCTGCAAGCCCGGGGTTTGCCATGGAAGGCTGGCAGTGCGTGATGGCAGAGGGAGGCCCTGTGCAAGTGTTGCTGGCCACCGCTGAGGTCTGCAAGGTGGGTGGGAGGAAAGCCAGTACCCCTCGGCAGGAGCAGAGGAAGGGAGGTGAGGCGGTGTGGGCTGCAGCCAGCCTCCCCAACCGGAGGCCTGCTGTGTGCTCCTCACCCTCAGGGGGCCTGGCAGCCCCGAAACTACTTCTCCCAGGCTGCCTGGCATGCTGCCCTGCTGCTGGCTCTCCAGGGAGGGCTGCTTGGGGGAGATGGGGGGGTAGCCTCTGGCCCCCCCGGCACCCACCGGCCCTGGCATCCTGCCCTCGCCTACAGTAAAGCGCTGTGGCGGCGGGGAGAAAATTTGCCGAAGGGTCCTGCGTGACATGGGGCAGGAGGGATGGCTGCTGTTGGCCAAGTGGCCTCTGGGAAACTCCAGTGGGAAAGGGGGGTGCTGGGAAGGGGTGCTGGGAAAGCCCACCTGCCAGGTGCCGGTGGGAAAGGGGTGGAGGGGACAGGTCATGCCTGGGTGCTGGGGTCTCTGGGGGGGACACACGGGAGGGAGGGGACAGGGGCTTTGTGTTGAAGCTGGGAGCAGGGAGCAGGGGAGAGGAGAGCAGGAGGGGGGCGGTGGGATAGTGTGCTGCTGCCTTTCAGGGTAATTGCTTCCTCCTCTGCCCTGACCAAGTCTGCTGTGGATGTGACTTTCGGTTTCTCAGATAGAGGCAAGGAGCCCTGCCCTTATCCCTACCCTTATCCTTACTCCTTTCCCTATCCCTTTTTTCCTACCCTTTTCTCCCTTTTTCCTGCCACCTTCCCCTGCCCCGACTGCTGCTGGGGCTCTTACATCTTCCTGCCCCAGACTGGGCTTGTTTTGCTTCTGAACCAATCTGGTGACATGGAGGTATTTTTAGGACCACTTTACATCCCAGTGTACCTTCCACTTCCATGGCAGGAATGGAGGAGGGTTTCCCTCGTGGGAGTAGCTGTCTCCTGCCCCAAACAGCCCAATGCAAGGAACAGGACTGATAACGGGTACGTGGAGATGCTCCCCAATGGCTCCTTCCATTTGAAATTTGTGAGCAGACCTAAAAAACCTAA